AATGATTTATGCTCTGTCGGTTACGCGCTTCAAATCAACAAGAGTTCTTCATCAATTTTGGAAATTGAGCGTGGGGGCATTTTAGTCGTCGTAGCATGACCTCGGGCTTTCGGTCCTAACCTTGATGTGACGCTTTTATTGTGACTTTTGTCTTTTGCAGTGTGCAGACTTTCCTCTTCTGACGTACCTCGAAAACATGAATGAGATTTTGGGCTACATTGAAATAAAAGTACCTGAACGACTGACGATCATCACAAAGGGACGAGCGTTTCCTTTTCAATATGAGAGAATCTTAAGGATCGTAGCGGGAGGATGGACAATGTTTGTCATCATGGTGAGGTTTACTGATCTCAACATTTTCGACATGCGAATATATGAGCATCGGGGTGAAAATTGGATGCGAGGAGATTTTACAAGAGCTTATGTAAAAGCTTCAGAAGTTTTTTTCGCCTTGAGACGTGTTGTGCTCGGATCAGGGGGTGACATTGAGGGTTTCTCGTTTGCCATTACGGAGTTTGAAGGTCTGCCTCAACCTCCAATCCCAGCTTGCATGGTGGACGGTTCCATATGGGAACCGATAGTGAACGCTCAGCGAAGAGGCTTCTTCTGAGGACTTCAACTTCTTAAGACGTTTGGTGATCAGTCTTACGTTTCTGGAATTTTGTGTTATTATGTCGGATTTGTGAACATTTTCGTAGTACAGTCATTTCTGATTATTTTTAATTTTCACCAATTTGAGAGACGAGTCTCGACACTTCCCAAGTTTTGTGGTCGAATGTCAGATCAGTTGAAATTTTCACACTGTAAAGTATTAACGAAAGTCACGAGTGTCGACCCTGGCTCATGGTCGGTTGTGGTTCGGATGCATCCGACCCAGAGAATAAGGATACTGTTACGACAACCAAACACAAGAGCATCAAAGGGGAAACTGGATGCTGGGGGATCTTACAGCACCTTCTCTGCAAGCTGCAGATGTTCTTGTGTCCTTGAGACGTGCTGTTGTCAGGGCTGGGGGGAGACGTTCAAGGTTTCTCGATTTCCATTACGGGTTTCGAAGGTCTGCCTCAACCTCCTATCTCGGCTTGCATTGTGCACGGTTCAACATGAGAACCGCTAGTGAACGCTTTTCGAATAGACTTCTTTTGAAGATTTCAAGTTCGGGACACTTTGGTGACGAGTCTTACGTTTTTAGAGTTCCGTCAGGATGTTGGATTTGTGAATGTTTTCATAGTGTAGACTTTTTTAGAAAGACATCTCGACATCTCATGATTTTTGTGTTAGAATGTTCGATTAGTTAAAATTTTCACGGAAACTTTTTGGTTAATTATGGACGGTCCGACATAGCCTTGCCAAATCTTTGGTTAATGCCATTGGAAACTTTTGAGGTAACCGTTACGAATTCACAATATTGTGACCAGATAACTATTATCAGTTTTTACAGCATACTTCTCATTCGTCTCAACAATGGTTGTGTGTCTGCTTATGTAGGATGGGTGTCCCGCTCTGTTTTTAATTTGTCTTTGCTTTTCAATCAAGTTCTCATGAGTTGTCAATTGTCTTCGAAATCCAGTGAGATCGTTCAAAATAATTATAAGGTCCTTGGTCACTTCAACATCTGATAATCTGTACACAGTTTGATTCGGATGTATCCTACACATTCATTTGAGCCTTCTCTAATGCCCTATCCTCAGATGATAACGTCTCTACAGAATATGCTCCCCACCACTTCACTCCGTACGATGCCCGTTTGTTTTGAGAAATGTTTGGTAAAGTGATAATGTACATGCAACCGCCATCTAGTTTTAACATATATCATTTGATCTCAAAGCAAGGACTGTGGCGGAATGATGGGCAGGATTGGGTAGGGATGTTACAAGTTCATGGTTGCGAGGTCGAACTCGGCAAGCGGCAAATGATAACATCTCTGCATAATGTTGCCCACCACTTCACTCCGTCCGATGCCCTTTTGTTTTAAGAAATGTCTGCTAAGCTATAATTGTTCTTGGAATGATAACATATTGGTTAATTTTCCCTCGGAGGGTGATCCGGGCTATACTCATAAGTTCATCCTTTTGATTGAGTGAACTTCAAGGATATTAAATGAATGACGCACGGTTTATAACATAACGAATTTTCTCTATCCGAATAATGAAATATTTGATTCGGATATATCCCTGTTTTACTACTCATCCTGCTTGTATTCAATTAAACTTCAAAAATGAGTTACTCTTTTCACTCCAATGCACCCTTTAAAGCCTCAACGAAGACCTTTTTCGGGTCGATCATATGCGTCCCTCACAAGGGGAAACCTTCGATATGCTACGTTCGTATTGGCTGTCTGAATGTGTGCCAGTTTAGTTGAGGATTTATCTGTTGAACAGGGACTCTGATCGTTGTGTATTAATGTATAATGAGCATCTTCTTTCGTCAGCCGTGTATACCTTTTGAGTTTCTCGAACGACAAAAGTACTATTTAGAAAATTATGTACTATTTTAATGAATAACATGTTTAATGGTCGTCGGGGCAAAAGGACGGCAGGCAAGGGCAACGATGCCGAAGGTGACATCGATGGTGAAGGAGGTCGTCACTTCTGGTCCGTTGATGACATTATAGCCCTCATCCGGGCTAAACGTGATCAGAATGCGCATTTGCAGGGGATGGGCCACGCGTACGCTTGGATGAAGCCGTGAGAATGAAAGTGGCTGGATGTGGCGACGAGGTTGAAAAAGGTGGGCGTCGACAGAGAGGCCGATTGGTGCGGGAAAAAGGTCGGATAATCTGATGCAGCAGTTCAAGAAGGTTTATCATTTCCAAGGACTGTCTGGGAAACACGACTTCTTCTTATTATCTGGGAAGGACAGGATGTCGAAGGGCTTCAGTTTTAATATGGATCGTGCGGTTTACAACGAGATACTTGGGTCGACCGCCAAGAACCACACCATAAACCCGAAGAACGTCGCGGACACTGGCGCTCAGGGTGGTGTGCGTCAGCCGTCCGCCTCCTCTGCGGATCCTGAATCTGTGGGCGGCGGGGACGGTGGAGCAGAGCACAACGACGACGGCGACGGGTCCACCAAAGGTTATTCACAGACGACGGGTGGCGCAGGCGGTTTCGGCAAGAGGAAGAGCATAAGGAAGCAAACATTTTAGGCAATGACGGAGTGCATGGAGAAGCACGGGGCGTTAACGGCGTCAACGATGGAGAGCAACAACAAACGTCATTGCTCCATCGCCATACGTCAGTGCCAGGCGCTGGAAGCGGAGATCAAAGTGCAGAAAAAACACTACGCAGCGTCAGACGAAGTCAGCAAGCTTATGTGTCACGCCTTGCTGGAGATAGCGAAGGCCATCGACAAACGTTAGACGTAGTGTCGTCTCTGTTGTGCTCTCTGTTCGCTTGCATGGAATTGGATGGAGCGAAAGTGATAGTCTTTCCATCGTCGATGTAGCTAACCTTAGCCATCGCTGTCATCGTCGATGTGCCGTTCCCCCAATGGCAGTGCTGGCCAAGGAATTGGGTACTGGTCCGATTCGGTGGATGAGTCCTTCGGTGAAATTTGTTTTCGTTTTTTAAATTGTTTTTTTTTTTACATTATTTGTTTCGTTTGTTTTTGGCCTCGATCGTGTGACGGGACGGATGATTCCGTCAACTCAGAATTGTAATTGGCATCGATAAAGTGCAGTATGCACTTTCCTTTTTTACATGACGACATCGATTTCGTTCTCTCTCTCTCTCTCGTTTCTTTGTGTCTTTGTCGTAAATGAAATGTAGAGGTGTAATAAAGGTGTTGTCTTTAATGCCGTTGTTTTTCGGATTTTTTGTGTTCAATCGAAATCGGCTCCCTCTTTCTCTCCAGTGTGTGTTTTGGTGTATTCTCCTGAAAAGAAATGCAATGGTGCCATGAAGGTGTTGTCTGTGCTGCCGTCCTTTTTTGGGTATGCATTTGCTAATGTTGTGCATACACCCAATTAGTCGTTGATTGAGTACAGGCGTACTTGGGTTCGATCAAACGTCCCCCTCCACAACCGGATGTCGAATCATGACAGCTGTACGAAATGCACGTTGTGTTGTGTGTTTTGTGTTGGTCTATTTACTTGTTTTCGTTATCTCGTAGATAGTCGGGCGGGGTGCTTTATTTCGGAGTTCGGGAGGGGGAATATTGAACCCGTCCAGGCGAATATGCATGCCATGTTGGGGGGTCGGGGTAGGGGGCGGTTGGGGGGGGG